CTTTGTAAATATTTTTGTTCATTATTTTTTAATAAGAATTATTAATGAAGAATTAATTAATTGTTACTCCTATTAATTATTATTAATAATTATAATTATTAATATGTACATTTTCAAAATAACGAACAAAGCGCGTTTAGAAAGCGAGAAGTTTATTAGTTAATAAATCGTCCCCTTAGTGCCAAAACCGATTATCTGCATTTTTCCGCTACTGAACTTTTATAATACCAATCGACCCGTGTCCTTAAGCCGCATCTACAGGTAAACCCCATTATGCTCTACGACGCATACTTCATGAAATAGCTAATGAATAAACAGAATAACTGCAAATTATTTCCAAAATTCTTGATTTAAAACCTAATAATCCCATTCAAAACACTTAAGTTGGTAAATGTATTACCGCTGAAACCAAATTTCTGATTTAAACTCATTTTTCATGTAGACACTTAGAGTAAATATCCTGTGAGTATCCTGCTTTGACTGTTTGAATTTTACCAGATATTTTAATTTTACTAGATGAAGTAAAAACTAACAAATCTGTCGCTTTGTGCAAAAAAATACATATAATATGTTTGCGTTATATTTGAGGCAAGTAAAAGAGGATAGACCGAATCGATCGACAGGTGACCTTCTAGCGTACGTGACATATATCTGAGGTGAGGCTATCAATAAGCGATCTTTGGCTATCAGCCTTAATATCGCGAAGGCTTTGATAGGGTCTGGCACATAAGTCTTCTCTCCAAGCTTCCTGGATACGGTCTGCCTACTCAGTTCTGTGCCTGAGTGGCTGACTTCCTGCATGAACGTCAACGGACGGCGACGAATGTAGTTCGCAGTTCATGTCAGTGAATGCCGGTGTTTCTCAGGACTCCGTCCTATCCCCTACACTCTTTTTGCTGCATTCAATGATTTAATTCCTTTTGAGAATATTCATTGCTATGCAGACGATAATACAGTGCATGCGGGATATTTTGGATACGCAGCCGCTGGACAGGTAGAAACCAAAGAGAAACGAGAGAATCTTGTCATTGAACTCAATCAAGATTTGGACTGCATTTCGGAATGCGGTACCAAGCACTTGGTTAAGTTCATTACCAAGAAAACCCAGGTCTGCGCTTTCACGGTAAAACTAACGTTTTTTCACGCCTGAGCAACTGTGCTTGTTGTACATGACGTAAGTACGGTCTTCCGTGGAATATTGTTCGCACCCCAGAGGATGGCTCCGCCAAGTACTTTTTTGATGCTTTGGATAGGTTACAGCGGCGCGCGATCCGCATCATTGGCGATAAAGAGGTGACTAACCACCTCGAGCCTCTTCAATTACGCCGTGATGTGGCGTTATTAAGCGCTTTTTATCGTCTTTATCATGGCGCATGTTTTGAGAAGTTATTGTCCCTTAACCTATTCCCCTTTCCTACAGAAATCTACACGCGCTGGCCTACGTTGTAACCGACTAACTGTGAACTACTATTCCCACTATTCCAACGTGTACAAAGAAATTTGGTAACTCATTTCTTTGTCAGACTATCCGCAAATGGATTACTTTGCCCTCTTACGTGTGTGAAGTAGCAATTCTGCAGGCCGGCAAAATGAGGATAGCTGGTGTGGCAAGTAATACTGCTGTACCAGCTATCTTCGCGTCTAGACTCCTCCGTCACCTAACCTCTGGTGGAGTCATTTGTCGAACCTATTTATAAAAAAAAAATCTATAGCAAAGAAAAAAGATCTTGATGATTTGTGCAACAAAGGTGTCATACCTGAAGAGTACCATGGATTATACAGATCTTTGGCTACAAAAACAAGCCAATCTGATCGTTTTCCTTCAGAAACCTTTCTGATGACTCATCATGTGAAAGCGAGTCAAGTGCAGATGAATAATACTGATTTTTTTACACTTATTTAATTAGGAATACTATCGGCCGCCAACGAATTCGTCCGCTTTAACTTTAATATACATTTTTAAACTAGATATTTTAGATAGAAATACTACTGCACCCGAAATATCGAACCTACAGTATCTAGATAAATGTACATCATAAACCGAAACTATTTAATATACCTATATTGACTCAAGGATCTCTAAAAACTTATGGATGTATCATTTCGGCGATACTTACATTCCCTGGACTCTTATCGGCATTACTGTCCACCGAATCAATTGTCCCCATATCACTGAAATGATATACTTACTATTTGGCGGGAATCCACAATGACGTTGTTGCGCGTGCATGTGCTCCAGCGAAGGCGGACTGGCTCCAAGTGAGCACTGACAAACGGGACACAACAACGCAATGTAGACGAACCTATTTCACAAAAATGATAACTTTTTCCAGGACAAAAGTTGAGTGCTTGTTACATGTATAAGGAAGAAGGTAAACAAACAGTAGTAGGTTTTGTTAATGGGCTATATTATATATTAATGATATAAAAGTTAATTTCAATCGAAAAAATAAATGTAACTACAATGGAAGTAATTTTACGAGAGGAATTGGATTTCAGACAGGTTCCCGTGATGATAAATGCCACTTCTTATTTTTTTATTTTATGGAATAGAGCCCATTACTCAATAATTCTTTTTGACAAGGTTGAGAAGTACCTACTTAACTAAGAAAAAAAGTCAAAATCATTTATCAGCACATTGCACTGCCGCTCTGAGCAATGCCGTGTATTTTTTTTTTGCTTGAGGAGTTCACCTGTACATAATTCATTGGGATTTAATTAATATGTTTCGGGCATTTTTTATTACCTTTTTATATAATAATCTTGACAAAAAAAAAAAATTTCAATTTTATTATATGATAATGTATAAGAATATGTATTGCATATTGCAAATATATGTTTTAAATGCAAATTTTGCGCTGAACACGATGAAATAAAAATAAACGTTAAAGTTAAATTGAAATCATTTTTTTTATCAAGTTTATTTTTCGTTATCTTTCTTAGTGGTTATCATTTTAAACCAAATACGCAGAATAGTTCACCCAGTAATGTTTATTAGTGATTAATTAAAAAAAAATAACATTGTTGCCCAGCGCGCGATTCAACAATGAATGAATAAAAGTGAGTAACTCACTCCCTAGCGCGCGATCGATGATAGCTGAAGCATAAATTTTAAAGTAACGATGTCTAACGCTAATAAATTGTAGTGGAAGAAAAGAGTAAGCACCGATAATCGATTTTAGCTGAAGTAATTTCTAAAGCGTTGAATAAAAGTTATTAAGTAAAAACAAATTGAAATTCGGTATCTTATGCAATTGCCTCAAACACTACGCAAATATTATATATTTGTTTTTGAAAAAAAGCGACTTAGATCTGTTAATTTTTACTTCATCTAGTAAAATTAAAATATCTGGTAAAATTCAAACAGTTAAAGCCAATTACAGAATACTCACAGGATATTTACTCTAAGTGTCTACATGAAAAATGAGTTTAAATCCGAAATTTGGTTTCAGCGGTAATACATTTACCAGCTTAAATGTTTTAAATGGGTTTATTAGGTTTAATTTAAATCAAGAATTTTGGAAATAATTTGCAGTTATTCTGTTTATTCATTAGCTATTTCAGAAAGTATGCGTCGTAGAGCATAATGGGGTTTACCTGTAGATGCGGCTTAATGAGACGGGTCGATTGGTATTATAAAAGTTCAGTAGCGGAAAAGTGCAGATAATCGGTTTTGGCACTAAGGGGACGATTTATTAACTAATAAACTTCTCGCTTTCTAAACGCGCTTTGTTCGTTATTTTGAAAATGTACATATTAATAATTATAATTATTAATAATAATTAATAGGAGTAACAATTAATTAATTCTTCATTAATAATTCTAATTAAAAAATAATGAACAAAAATATTTACAAAGAATAAGGAAATTCATTTAAATTCAAAATAGGGAACCCTTCTACTACAAAGGCGACGTTCTTGGCTGTATCAGTTCGGTGGTCATTTTTTTACCATTTCGGTAGTCAATTTTCATTTCAGTGGACTGCCGAAAACTCATGCTTAAATATTTCAGTAAGTGGTGATTGTTGAATTTGACCCGTAGGATCGTTTAAAAATGGAAAAAAAACATTAACAATATATTTTCTTTTTTTCTTTTGCACCATTAATTGCATTTTGTGCAAAAACTATGGGAGATACGCAAAAATATGTTTGTACCTTTTTTGTAGGAAATTAAATTTTCTACAACTTTGTACTAGGAACTTTTTCTATTTTTCCAGCCAGTCGCGAGATATTGACGAAAATCTCGTTTTTGCACCATTTGGCATTTTTTTCACCCTTTGCCGTCAATGCAGCACCCTGCAATTTTAGTATATTAATCTACGAACCCTTGCGGAAATTTTCGCGTTGGTTGCAGGTGATCAACTCAAAATGGCAAAGTTAAGCCTTCATTGACTGGACTAATACGGCACTAGCCTCACAAAAGTGATCCGTATGTCAGTCACAAAACAAGTCACAACTTGACATGCAAACGACGTACATGTGAACGCCAAAAAGAAATATTGCTAATATATTGTGTTTATATGATAAAAAATGCCTAAGTGTGTTTTTAAAAAGTGCTCAAATTGCTCAAGAACTAAAAATAAAACCCACGGCATCACTTTTCATTCGTAAGTACTATAAAATATATTTTTTCATAAAAATTGCTGTTTGTTTAGAATCTTATTCGGTAGTGACGTCGAGTACTGGTCGCGTGATTGGTCGGTAGTGCAGTGACGCGGATCTCGCCGTCTCGTTCGCGCTGCCGTTGAAACTTAACGTGCTGTTTCGTTCGGGTCGGTAATGCAGTGACGCGGATCTCGCCGTCCCGTTCGCGCTGCCGTGGGATCAGTTTTTGTTTGATCCAAGTATGAGCGTACCGTATCTACCCTTTTTGTTTTAATCTAAGCCCACGGGCCCCTTATCAGCCGACTTTAACTGTTTTTTCCTGTAAATAAGAAAAAAGTATCCTCTAAAGAATGACCTCCGTCCGTACGTACTTCTGTACTATATCTTTTCATATTGTTACCACTGCTCTACGATCAGAGCCCTCTTTCCCTGTAGGCACTTTGGGCAAGTGCCCAGGGCCCCGCGATCGATAGGGGCCCCCCTCAGATCAAATACAAAGTCTCTAGTTCCCGTTAAATCAGCAAACGGAGATCGTAGGGGCCCCATTATCCTAATATGCCCAGGGCCTCCAATAGGTCAAAGACGGCACTGTCTACGATAAAGTAATAGGTTTCAAGACTAAGATCAAGCAAGCAAAAAGATACTGGTTGAATCCTCGCCTGTGTGCGTGTGTTGCATCAGCTAGTTTTGGAACTGGGACTTCACTCACAGATTTAGCAGTTAGTGTGGGATCATTTACTGAGAGAATTAATTTCCTAAGTTTTTAATACCTTGGATTTCTTCAGCCGGGGCTCTGCGAGTAATGTATAGAACAAAACTGCTGCTGCAGATATCTGACATAAGTTGGAAGTGTCCACCACAAAGATAACCTGAAGACAATTTTAACCAGGTTAGCTGAGGGTCAGGGTCGTGGATAGGGGGCTTTATGGGGCAATATCCTACCTTAGCCGTGGGTCACGGTTGCATCTTTAGTCATTAGCACCAATCTGCTCTGGGCCAGCGTGATATGTAATGAAACAAAAATAAACTTTATTCAAGTTCACTTGATATATAAATCTAAAAGCTCTATTGAATCGTTCTTATATCTTTTTTCCTTCAACCTATTCTGGAAATCGTTTAGCTGACAAGAAGAACAGGAGAAAGAAACTTCTTAGCTTTTTGAGAAACTTCTCAGATTTTCATAGTCTACTCAACTTCTACTGCAATCTGAAGACTTGATTTTTTTTATCTCCAGCGAAAAAACTACCTAATCAGATTTATCCTTTGCCCCGTGATTGTTTAACACCAAACTTTTAAATTTCACAGATTCAAATTATTAAGATGAAACTCACTGACCTTTTTAATTCCATCCAAGTAGTTACTCCAAAGAGGTGCCATCTCCCCGCCGACTTCTCTCACGGTGACTGTCTGTTTCTTCCCATGTTTGTTTAAATAGTGAATGTCGTAAATGTTTGTGCCAATAGTAGGCACTGGGCTGTATGTGTTGTCGATTCCTTCAGCACCCTGCAACTTTTTCAGTAGCGTAGTTTTCCCCGAACCTTTTGGTCCAAGGCATAGTACTTTTATTTTAATCTCAGGGTCATCCATTTGATTTTCAAACAGCTTTTCTTGTTGAACAACACCAAAATGTTGCTGCTGTTGCTTTATCAATACTCCTCGGTTGCCAAAGTGAATAATAATTATTTTAAACAGAGAAAGTTAAAATGTAGAGCGAATTGGTTTAACTACTCGACAACAGATGGCGCTGTGCATGAATAGAGCTTCATTGCCTCGACTAATGAACCTTTCGTTGTGCTTGAATAAATCTGTTTGCTTTAATAATAATGAGCTTGTGGCAAAAGCTAATAAATTGTCATCATGTTAAGGCACACTTTCTTAAGCAACAAAACAAGTGGAATAATGAGATTAGAGTTTGCTAACATATGTCACGATGATCAGAGTAGGCGGAATAAGTTGTCGTCCTATCGTGCAAATACATTATTCATTTGATTTAAATTTACCTAGAAATTTGCAAAGCGCTTCTTAAGCTGCGTACTGATAGCGCGTTCCAGGGTACGCGTAGTCGGTTACGGATTCCCTGGATTGCTTTAGAAATACTAGTAGCTACGCGTACCTCTACTGCATTCCCCTTGTCAGGGGATGATCGCTTCACACGATAAAGGGCCCCATATACGGAACGATTCGTCGTTGCGATCGATCTGAAGGAAATCGTCAACGATCGATCGTTCAGAAATGCCACTACATACACGAAACGATTTATCGTAACGATCTATCATTTACTTGTTTCAAACGGTAGGATAAAGACGTACTCAAATAATTCAATACTTGCCCTCTAAAATGGAAAACGAACTCATGATTGCATGAACGATATTCATGATTACATGGGATTTGGTTGCGATTTGCGATATCGTCTTCGATTAAGTAAATCGTTAACGATCTTGACATACACTGTCGATGCATCGTTTCGATCGGTCTGAAACGACGGATCGTACAGATCAATCGTACCGTATATGGGACACTGACGATCGATCGTTTACGATATTCGTGATTGCATGGGTTTTTGTTACGATCTCCGATATCGTCTGCGATTAAGTAAATCGTTAACGATCTTGACATACACTGTCGATCCATCGTTTCGATCGGTCTGAAACGACGGATCGTACAGATCAATCGTTCCGTATATGGGCCCCTTAAGGGCTGTCCATAGGCATCCCTCCACGGGTGTTTTAGTCAGTTAGTCTGACATAACTAACACAGCCAGCTGTAGGGTATCCATGAGGATTTCACACCCGCTCCCCCGCCTGGAAGGAAACCAAGAAAGCGTTCCCTTCACGAGTCACTGTTAGTAATGAGTAGATATACCTACCAACTCATTACTCATAGTAAACTCGTGTAGCTGTAGGAATTTAGTTTTCCTCGGACCAAAATAGTAGTAATGAAAGGCAGCAGACCATTAGGCTGATTGCTTTCAGTAGCACCTTTTAATGGACTTCGAGAAAATGCTAGAGTTTTAGATAGGTACTTAAAATACTCAGTATTAAAGAAATTTTCATAAATATATTAGACACGCAATTAATTCACCCTCCATTCATTGAACTACACTACAACGTACACCTGTTATTAGGGATCTTGGTGTAAATTTCGATGAGTCTTTAGTTTCGTCCTCTGTGACCGTTAATTTCCCATTGTCATCAACTCCTGGGGTTTTTTACGCTGCAATAAAGAATTTACAAAGCAAATCAAGTCTGTCTAACTTATATTTCTCATTAGTGAGAAGCATATTAAAATCAAACAGTTGTATAGTCGCCTCAATACAATAACGCTCTGAGTGTATTGAAAGAGTTCAAAGGAAGTTTCTCAATATTGTCATTATTAATTCAGGTCTAAAATATAAATCTCACAAGATGAAATCAGAAAAGGTTCAAACTCCTTCTCTAAAATCTCGGCGCAAATATCTATACATATAATTAAAAGGTAGGAAAGACAAATCTGTACATTGAATATTTTTTTTAAAAGATTACTTGGGGTGTGATCTACAATCGATACCGAAGCCAAAAATGTGGTTTTTAGAATTTTTGTCTGTTTGTATGTATGTCCGCGATAATAAACTCTAAAAGTACTGCATGGATTTATTTCAAATTTGGATGTGCATCTGAATTGAGTGATCCTTTTTTAGTTTTCAATAAAACCAAAACGTACATTTAGTGTAAAATTGTCAAAACTCATAACAGAAATCAAAAAATTTGTCACTCTTGGGCGATCGAAGATATTGCCCAAAATGTGGATCACTCAATTCAGACATTAGGCAAAATAGTATACGGCAATTTTACACTAAATGTACGTTTTGGTTTTATTGAAAACTAAAAAAGGATCACTCAATTCAGATGCACATCAAATTTGGCACGAATATTATTAAGAAGTCGGGTCAACATATAGGCTAGATATTATCACGCTATCACCTACGGAGAACGAGCAGTGAACCTTTATTTCTAACAACTCCACGCGTATCGTACACTCACTCCTTGACTCCCATTTCTTACTTGTGGTAAGAATTACTTGTTTGAATAAGTATGCCTGATTCAATATTTCTGAAAGTATGTGTAATTGTGTATATTAATGGAGGTAAAGTATCGGGGTATTTTAACAAGATGTATCAAATAGATTCTGTATCAGCCCATGATTCAATAGTCATAATACAAATAACACGAATTAGATCTTTGTTGTCTAGTTACTTTTATTATTTAGATTATAATATAACATCTGATTCCGTTTCTTAATACGGAATCAGATTATCCTTACCTTTTAATGAAGGTTGACTGTTGAAACTGGCCGTAAGTCTACCTGTGTGCTAATTTTCATCCCGATTTCTGTAGCCGTTTAGGCGTATTTGACTTAATAGGGATCATGACTATTTTTTTTTCTTCGTTTATCAGGTAGACTATCAAAAAGTATTGGTCACGTATTTTTTCTTTTTTCACATAATATAAACATTGCAGAGATATATTGATTTGAAAAGTCGCATGACGTCACGTTTTGGTACAATTTTCACTTAAAAGTGACGTCACCAACCCCTACTCCCAAACTTTGACGCGCTATAACTTTGTCATTTCTTGGCTGATTGCCCAAAGAAAAAATACGTGTCCATTATATTTTGATCATCTAACTATCGGACTAAATAGAATTTTAAAGCATGTATGTAACTGCTTGATGTTTACATCTAAAGAAGTTGTTTGTGGGTTACCTATAATGGGAAGAGATGGCGCTGCCTTGCAGCTTAAGAATGGCTAAAAGAATTTCGACGCGGTCCGTGAGGGCCGCGGTAGCATAATTGGTCAGTGCATTCGCCCGGATTGCGAAGGGTGCGTGTTCGAGTCCCGTCTGCTGCCTGGTCCGCGTGGAATTTTTTCTAGTTATATTTTCTTTAGAAAAGTATTTTATTTCTATTCGTCAGAACGACAGCGTTAATGTGTTTAGGAGCCAAGAACACTTGTTGATGTTTCTAATTATAATTGAGCTTTTCAGCTTCGCATTGTTTCAACTAAATAAATTGCTGTTTCCTACTATGACAGCGAGTATATACGTACATACCTACTCTTATGACCGTCAAAATGGTTGGCTGGAATCGCGACCTTTCCAAGTAAGAGCGAGGCCATTTTAACCAATTGGTTGCGGCGGTCACCCACATGAATAATGTTAAGTAGGTATAAGAGTTGTTTCAAAATTGCATCAACCAATGAAGCCCTATAATGTGAAAGCCTGTACGGACCTGCCAGATTCGAACAAGGGCAAAGTTTTTTGTAGTTTCATGGAAATTATTGATACCCTTTTAAATGGGTAAGAAGGTACTTAACATAGTTTTTGAAGTTATACTTCTTTAGGCGCGTTATGAAAAAATGATGAGACTGAAATTTTAAGATGCGCGCGCATCACTGTAACACAAAATTTTAACAGCATGAAGTTGGTCGCTTTGGCGGTCGTTGGAACTTCATGCTGTTACTTTTGTGTTTACCGCACATTAAGAAAATCTACCAACAAAGTAGAAATAGAATCTCTATTTAGTGGGTGCTAACGACTGCATTGTGAAGGCCTATCAAAAGTATTTATTAATCTGGAACAACGGAACCAAAGCGCGATTCAGGAGACTACAGCGCCATCTCTTGACCATTGGTGTAGTAGAACCAAAAACCACATCTTTATTTTTTGTAATAAAGTAACAAAAAGTATTTATTAATCTGGAACAACGGAACCAAAGCGCGATTCAGGAGACTACAGCGCCATCTCTTGACCATTGGTGTAGTAGAAGCAAAAACCACATCTTTATTTTTTGTAATAAAGTAACAGTCATAGGTATTCATATTTATAATATTTATCCACATGTTTCTAGTTTGTATATTCGGAATACGTGTTTGAGTTTCATACAAGTGCAAATCACATATGTTCTAATAAATTATATTCAGTAGCGATTTTAATTGAATATTTTGATTATTTATTTATTTTTTCAAATTAAAACTGAACTTTATTGACTGTGTCCTTTTCCAGACTTTTTATTAATTTATTGTAATTAATTATTTGCATGCAATTAAAAACTAATTTTAAACGATGCCAAAGAAGGATAACTTCTCACGCGCCTACATAAGTACACGCACCCATTTTTTTTTTATATATAGAGGTAGGCAAATGACTCTACCCCACCTGATGTTAAGTGGTAATAAAGTCCAAACGCGAAGATAGCTGGTACAGCAGTTATAAACTGCTACACCATCATCCTCACCTTGCCGGCCGGCAAAAATACTTCTTCACGCCTCTCTTAAAGGACCCCAGATTATAGAAGGGGCGAACACTTGCGCGGGTAAAGAATTCCAATTACGAATAGTACGACAAAGAAATGGGTAACCAAATTTCTTTGTTCGTGTAGGAATAGTGGCCACAGTAAGTATGGTTTATTTCTTATATATTGTTGGTACCACACTCATGCTCATCGCTACGCTAATATCAGGGTTCCCGACTTAGGGGTTTTGCCCCCAGATTTAGGGGCTAGAAGGGTTAAAACGGACTCTTTAGGGACTGGAATTTTTTGGGGGTTCTTTTAGGGGCTTTTAACAAAACTTTCAATTAAATCGAAAAACAAAGAGTGTGTTTTCTTTCAGTTTTGTGCGTAGAATGGAACGCACCACGATATGAAACGACTGAACTCACTGTGTGGCAGGTTGTTTCTTAAGGCTGTATGGACTAAAGTTCTTTGCCTTCCACCAATCAAAACAGCTAAATAAGATTTAACAGCCTGTCAGCTCATTTTCGTTTGATTTTCCATTCGGAAAATGTATTTATTCAATAAAATAATTTACTGTAACTAAATATGTAACGTTTTAATTTATGAGCAACGAAAGAATTTAGGTAATAAGATAAGTAGGTACATATAAATTACTGTATTTAGGGGATTTGCGGGAATTTAAAAAATACTTAGGGTAAAATTTTGGTAAGGGTTGGTAACACTGGCTAATATTTACAGATCCCTTAAAATAGCGTTGAGATTCCTATTTACAATGAAAAATAAACATCTTTTCTATAAACTCTTGAAGACCTCTGTGGCTGAGTGGTATGTACGTGTCTGGCGGTACGGCTGAGTTTCAACGTGTCGCCTAGTCTAGAGGGTCCGGGTTCGCATCTCGGTGGGGGCAATTTTTTTGACGACCTCCGTGGGTAGTGGTATGTACGCTCGGTTTCAAGGTGTCGCCTACTCGAGAGGTGCCAGGTTCGAATCCTATTAGGATAAAAAATATACTTATACAGAATAAGAAAGAATTCGAAAGATACCAGAATATTGTATTCTATCCGTTACTCTAGTATCCCGTAACACAAGCCAGTGCAAGCACTGTGCTTACTTTAGAGCTAGGCTAATTGATGCGAGTGTTGAAAATATTTATTAGAGTCTGTGCGGAAAGAGAATGGGCGTGGCGCAAAACGGAACTAACATTAAGATTTTTATATGGCAATCAAACCCAGCAATCTGTAAAACGACAAAGTTTTGTATTGATACGGATTTGTTTGTTGTTGTGATTTCTTGCGGTTTTTTGTATTTAATCATGTCTAAAAGGGGTAAAACCTTACAAATACGGTAGATAAGTACAACAGCGCCCTCCAATCTAAATCCCATTCTCTTTCCGCACAGACTCTATAATTAATATTCATTTAATTTGGTTGCAACCTGATTTAACTATAAATGTACAACGCGGCCTTATTTAAATTTGCCTATAGTTAATGTCATGTCACTTACGTAGTAAATGTGATAAATAGTTATTTTTCTCGGTTATAGGTTAGTAACAAATATCCGAAAGGACATCGACGAAATCGGCCCTAGCATGCCCAAAAGAATGTCCTTCACTATTATTTTTTTAATTTATTAGCAATTAATCATAGACAACGGACAATCTGTTTAAAAAAATAAAAAATAAAAGTTCTGTTACTAAATACTACAGTCTGTTCATCCTAACTTGTCCTATTTGATAAACAATCTTGGCACTTCTTTTTATTAAAAATACAGCATTAAAAATCAACTGATAACTGGATTCAATAGGTTTCAGTCTATAATAACGATTTATTATAATAGTTTATTGGCTTCGTTATTATTTTATTTTTGAATGTGCGTTCTAGGGCATTCAATGTATGGGGAACAAGCAATGTCCTTTGCATTTTTTGCGGTAAACAAAATGGCCAATTCGGCCCATTTCAAGTGATATGGGGGCCACGTCCTCGGCTCGGCCCGGACCCACCGGCCTTAAACTTGAGTTACGTAAAGCGCAGCGTGTCTGCGGCGCGTCAGCCTAGTGGTGGCTGGCGTGCCATATACATACCTTAACTTTTACACAATAAAAGTTTGACTAAATTTAATTGGAGTTTACTCCTTAAGAATCGATTTGCATATATAAGGGGCCCGGTATGAGAAAGATGAGAGGAGTAAAATCTATCGATGAATGACCTCGTTACGTTTTTGGTGCGCATCCTATGTCGCGCAACTTTGACAAACAAAGATGACGGATTGACATTAATAATTTTTTTAAAATCTGAACTGAATTTAGATATTGTTTCTGATAGAGCACTGGGGACAACGAGGTATGGTACGACCATTGATGCGGTATTTTCAAGATTAGTGAACCACGTATCTACGAACGTCCATGTGTCTTATTTTAGTTACCATAAACCACTTGTCACCGTAATTAATAATGCAGACAATGTTGATTTAATTAATATTTAAAAAATGATAATAGTCTGATAATAATAATTACATAATTTATCAACATTCCTAATGATATATTTATGCACATCTGAAATTGACTATTGTAAAAAGTTTAATGTAAAATATTTCGTCGATTAGTTATAATAAATGTATATGAAATGAATAAATATATACTTATTTATATATGTATATTATTTTCATTAATTTGTTAATTTACCCTTTCATACAGTATCAATATTTTTTAAGTTAAATAAACTCTTTTTGCGTCTGGTTAGACTATCGAACGTAAGGAGTAAACTCCAGTCGTGCGTCGGAGCTGACACACACAATTTTTTTTATTTAAAGGGCTGGAAGCAAAAAACCAATTCACATAAAAATTTTAAGACATTTCAAATTTGAAAGGAACTATTCAATGAAAACGGTGATAATGGGAATGATGAAAAACTTATTGCATAATCTTCTCATTATCACTATTAACATATTCATAGAAATGCGATACAGAAGTACTTAGGAAAAAGTTTAAATACATAGGTAATCATAATTCATAACTTAACTACTGCCTATAAATCGTTGCTTATATAAAAAGTTATATTATAAAGAAAATATAACTAGAAAAAATTCAACCCGGACCAGGCAGCAGACGGGGACTCGAACCCGCACCCTTCGCAATCCGGGCGAATGCACTGACCAATTATGCTACCGCGACCCTCACGGACCGCATCGAAATTCCTCTAGCCATTCTTAAGCTGCAAGGCAGCGCCATCTCTTCGCATTATAGGTAACCCACAATTACCTATAATGGGTACCACAATTATCTATAATACCTACGGGTTCGAATCCCGTCTGCTGCCTGGTCCGCGTGGATTTTTTTCTAGTTATATTTTCTTTAGATTTAAACATCAAGCAGTGTAAGATAAAGAGATGGCGCTGCCTTGTAGCTTAAGGTTAGGAAAATTTCGACGCGGCCAATAGGGCCGTGGTAGCATAATGGTCAGTGCATTCGCCCGGATTGCGAAGGGTGCGAGTTCGAGTCCCGTCCGCTGCCTGGTCCGCGTGGATTTTTATTCTAGTAAACTTTTTCTGTAGATTTGAACATCTAGCAGTTAAATGCTTAAAAAAATAAAAACATAAAAAGTGTAAGTTATAATATTCCCATAATTGCTATGATTATGCATACGATTACTTAACTTATATAAATACATTGGATGGAATCATGTCCGCCGGCCCCTCTGTATGAGGTTAGCAACTGTTACTGGCGAGTTCGCGAATTTCGGCGCGCGGCGCTGCGTAACTAGGCCAGCGCACCCTTGACCCACTGACTGACTGCCAGCGAGCGCACCCGCCATTGTTTTTCAACAATCAATAAATAATACACCGAGCAAAACTCTTTGCGCTCGCATTTGCGCAATGTCTGCTCAT